ATTATTAGTCTTTTATGAATTGAATTCATAGCCCACAGTGAAGGTGGAAAAGTTGAACTTGAGTTATGTGTCAACTAAATAGTGAKAACATCCTCGCTTTGCACCAATTAGGCTAGTATTATCAATAAAATTTTCATTTTATCATTTTATCTATATTATTTGTATAATATATTATATTTATTACAAAACACAATTTTATTATGGTATTAAATTTACAATTTTTATATTATATATATATATATATATACAAATGTATATAAATCATATATGATTGAAAATATCTAAATTTGTTTCTATAATTTTATATTATTTTACTTTATTTTTATAAATAATTTTATATTRTATTCATTATTTRTATATTTACCCAATTTTACGGGTTTTATATTGTAATTGTGTAAAAATTAACATATGAGGGCAATAATGTGAATTGTGCATGCTTTTTTTACGAACTTAAAAACAATTTTTGACATCAAAAAGGTTCGAAATTTTTTATTTAAATCCTCTATAGATCTCAAATTGACTGTGCATTTTACATTYCAAAGAAGTTATTTTTCAAATATTTTAGTAAGGWTTCTAAAAATTAAAGTACTTACTTAAAAACAGCGAATAAATGGTAAATAAATTGGTAATTCCATAATTACGCACAGTTAATCACCAGTTTTTAATTAAATCTTGAAAGAATAAACCAAGCTCCATTCGGATTAATTTTTCGAATGCATGATTTATTTATTAATAGCCTGCAAATATATAAAAATCATTTTTTTAGAATGATTTTACATTTTTACACTTTTGTCCTCGTACAATACTATGTATTATGCAGCAGTTCCCAAACTTATTTTTCCATGGTGTCCTTTTTGGACCAAATATAGCCATGGTCCCCTGCTGTGAATACCATAAAAGACAAGACAAAAAAAATACTCATTAGTCATTAATAACGAATTTTTGAAAAAAAAATTATATACATTTTAAATTATTTATTATGAGCTGTAAACCACGGTATCCTTGGAATGTGCTCGCAGTACCCCTAGTGCACCGCGGTGTATAGTTTGGGAAGCGCCGATATACAGTATAAAATAATTATAAATACCTATACCGAGAGGCAGCATTTGCTAATAAATTAGGTTAATGAATAATTGTTTATGGTTTATCCCATGGATTAGCAGATGTTTTYTTRCTTATTTTTATCAATAGGTACTTATAAATTGCAATAGACAATTGAATTGTGTTTGTTTCTAACACACGGTTAATTACAATTATGCAGATGATGATTTTCGAGCGAGTGTCCTGTCACATCGCGTATACAACAACGGGGCTGCCAGTTCGTCGTCGCCGGCATCCGAGTCGAGAAGCGTCTGCAACTACTCGGCCAAAGAATTGCAGCTCATATTACAAGAAGTCCGGTATATCACTGACCACATGCGAAAGCAACAGGACGACCAAGAAGTAATCAACGACTGGAAGTACGCAGCGATGGTAGTGGACAGGTTCTGTTTGATAGTGTTCACTTTTTTCACATTAGTCGCTACTGTTGCCGTAATGTATTCAGCGCCTCACATAATTGTTGAGTGACTCAGACATTGTGTTCACTTTTTAGATGTCGATAATATGGCAGTCATGATTTTGTTAAATATTTATTTCAGAGAGTATGAGTTGTTTTGAAAGAAAATATTAAAAGTTTTTTTGTAATACTATAAAAAAATCGATGAAGAGCTTAGTAAAAAAATTCTATGATACACAACGCATTTACAGGGTGTTAAAAAAGATCACGGGCCAAGAATAAGTCCTTCTAAATAATTAAATTACAGTGTTTTAATTTTAATCATCCCAAGTACACCCTGTTTTTTAAAATATTATTTTAATTGTTGTTTTTTTGCGTGCTCTAATTATAAACAAAATAGTTGAAAAAAATATTTATTTATCTCATTATTATTATTATATTGTAATAATGATTATAACAATTTTATCAAAATGGTTATTATTCTTTATATTATTATTTGGTACTGTAAAAATTATCACTACTGCCCATAATAATTATTAAGTTATACAACTTAAATATAATTTKAAWCTATGATTATTTTGAAATCTACAATTATTATTAAAAATAATTGTCGTTCATAAGTCAAAATATTAAACATATATTTCAAATATTACAAAATATGTTATATTAGGTCCATTAACAAATTC